TACGACAGATTGTTGGAAAACCCGATCTTCAAAAACTACATAGATATTGTCAATCAGAAATTCAAGCATCTTTTTGATATCAACTTCAGAGTACTTGTGTGTACAATCAGAATGTTTTTTTTATCAAAATAATTTTGCAAATGACCAATGACAAGGTAAGTAAATTTACGAGTTCCATTTTTATTGAAAAAGCAGTTTTCTGTGATATCAGAAAGCCTGTACTTTTATTAATCGTGGCGAAATGTCGAATAGAGTGTTGAAAAGTCGTACGTGTTGATGTTATTGATTTTTTTTAAAGAAAAATTTGATGATTTAAAAAGTTCCTTAGAGTTTTAAAGTATCCACATCTGATTTACACCACTTCTCGAAGATATTATTGTACAGAACACGGCTGCTAATACTTTAGTGAGGAGTAAAGAAAGACACTTGGAAGAACATTTACTGGAACCCGTCATGTATCTTTGTTTGTTAGGGTTTTTATGAAGTTTATGAATCCAGTATAGATATGGTAATTCAAATTCAAATTGAATGTTGGGACTATTAAAATATTTAAAAATGACATATGATTTTGAAGAATTTCCTACTTGGAAAGAGAGTAATGGACATAAGTTGACTTCCACTTGCAGAATTAAATCCCAGTTCCTCTAAAATACAATTTAATAATGTTTACAAGCAGGCTCAAGTTAAAATCTACAAGCGTTTAACTGGCTGATATTTCATGGTAATTTTTAATTTATGATTAAAAAAAAGAAAAATTCATTTATTTGTTGGCGAATGCATTGATTGTATGTGGACAGTGAAAAGATGGGGGGGGGGGGGGGGGAGGGGTCAATCAAGTATAAAATATTTGCAAAGCAAAAACGGTCTTTTTTCAATTCTTCTTTGAACATTTCCTAGATACCTCCTACTTTACTATCCCGACTTGGGGTGGGAGAGGGGTTGAGTGGGTGGGGCCAAGATACTCTCAACAGACACCCTTTCCCCTGTCTACCGCATCAGTCTCTATACAATATGTTGACTCAAATCAGCTCTTAAAATTGAAGCCTAAGAAAAATTTGCCTGGAGAATAAAAAATTGCATAGGCGACTAATTTTTTTTTCCGATAATTTAATTGGAAAACAATTGACCTTATCATCGTACACTTTACTTCATTTTACAATTGTCAATTTTCTGGAACGAAAAATTACCGGGGGCAGCTATTATCTGTCTTACCTGAGAGCTCCGTGTGCTCTGACGCGAAGCGAAAATTCGTTCGCACGTGCGCTTACTGATAAAACAAACAATGAAGATGACGAAGAAAAAAAAAGAAATGTCCATTGCTAAAAAAATATTTTCTCCACTCCACACTGATATACAGCCAGCATCATTCTGTCACTCTAGGTAAAAAAAGAAGAAAAAAAAAACGCTGCTTCTAATAACTTTGTGATTTTGTACAAAATAATAAATAGAATAGGAAACCTTTTTTTACCACTATTACAAGATGACAAACTTTGCGATCTTCGTTTATCTTTAGAAATTCGCTTTAAACGATCTATATTCAGCAAAATACATTTTAATCTTGCTCGAATATCATTACTAATTATGGTTATTATTAATTTTACACCTGCTAAATATACATGTAATTTGGTGGTATTGTAGCTTAATTAAATGGAATAATAATAAAATAAATAAATTGTAACAGTAATGAGTGAAACCGTCTCCAGTTTTACAAGGTAATGTGTCTTTAATAACAATGCTACATAGAACAACAAAACACACAAAAATGATCAATGGCAGTTCGATATGTCTTTGCTATTTGGAGACTGGTGACAGTATCCCACAGTTTGTTCACTTCTTCGTTCAATCCATCATTGTTGATGAGGTGGAACACAAGGAGTTGTGGTGGTGTAATTCCTTGACTTTTGTAGACAACTTTATAAGATACGAGATGAAAGATTTATAACTCTGCATGCAAAGTTCAAATGGCTTAGTAAACTTTATAGTTCTCTCTTAGCACACGATTTCTGAGCAGAAAAATTTCTGATTATTTCCCCAGTAAGAACAACTTTTTCCTGTGGTAGTCTTGCATCCATCTTTGAAGTATCAAGTATGAATCGTAGATATTCCAGGCAAGATGTTCGACCTACAGTTTTGTGTGTTGCTTTTATTTAGTATATTGATTAGATCATTCAAAATCTTAATTCCAAGTTTTGGCGTTCTCACTGTGGTGCAGATGAATAGACAATTGCGCGATTATAAAAATTTTATATACTTTTTTCTGTAGCAGGTCATTTGGTATATCAGTTTGATTTCCAGCAAAATGCATTTTAAAAAAAAATCAGATTCTCTGTTAACAAGTACTCAAACTAGAGTTAAATCTTTATCTTACTCTGATGGCAAATCACAAATGAATTAATGGTTTGGTTGAGTAAGATGCTCATAGGTCTTGTAATCCATTGGTATTTACACAAGAGGCTGAGTTGATTGGCACATCTAAAACACTATCTTTTCTCTCTTTTAGTTGATTCTTGGGGGGAGGGGGGTATTCTGTTGATCTTACCCTAGAGTGAATTTGTTTGCACTGGACACACACATGAAGGTTGTTATATCGGGGACAGACTTCTCACGATTGACATATTTGCAGATTTCAATACCTCCATAATGTTGTTTGACTTTCTAGTATTACGGTCGGCCGATCTAGAGAAAATGGATGACATATCATTGTTGACATTGGCCATTACTGAACAAATCCTGTTTTTTTTTACATAGTGTTAAACGTCTGAAAGAAAACACTGCTTGATTCAACAAGTGTCGGAGAATTACTGTTTCAGAAGTTTTGGTTAAGAGATGCTTGTTCTGACATAAATACTACAGCCGAGTTGTTAGAAAAAACATACGAGTCCGAGATGTCAACTTCAAGAAAACGCGTTGTATGGGCTAGGGGGAAAAGACTTTGGAAAGTTGATGGTAACTTATTTATTTTTTTATGAATGGAAAGTGATCATTGCCGAGAATAATCGCGTATATGTGTGGCGGAGAGGTGTGGATGCCGCAATGCATTAGTCACAGTCATGCGCAAGAGTTAGTCTGATAAATTGGGTATATATCTGAATAGACCAGCTACTCTGACAATTTTCAATTGTTATATTTATGCAGAAAACTACAGAAAAATGATTGATAATGAAGTGTGAACAGTTGTTGCCCAGCATTTCCCACAAAATGATTATCTTTCGAAACGATGCACTGGGATGAACCAGTGCATCGTGCAAGGATTGTGCAAAATTACAAAACTGAAAAAAAAATATTCGATGATTATTGTGGTTTGCACAGTGACCAGATGCTAACATTATTGAAAAATGCTGGTTATTGGTGAAAGATCAGCTGAGAAAATGCTCAAGCACATTTAGTAATGCAGCCGACCTTGAACTGGAAATTCGGAGAAAAGCTAGACCACCATTCCCATTCATTATATACGGAACCTTTACAATCACCTCCAGAACGATTAATCAAGATAATTAGTTCATAAGGGTATGCCACAAAGTATTAGGCAAGTTTCATTACCTGGTAATAACAATTTATTTATCATCCAGAAATCATATTTTTATACTGGATCCGTATGTTGCTATTAACATCAGGGCACCATTTTGTTCATAATATTATGATGATATTATTATCGGCAGTGTATAGGTATATGATACACAAAAGTATATTAATTCTGAAATAGGCGAATATAGCGAACAATGATCGATTTCAAAACACCTACAAACAAATCTGTGAATAGGACATAAAACACGGACCACTGGAAACTCCCGAGGAGGATCAGGTGGATAGGAAGAGTAAGCATCCCCTGTTCATCAGTCACACCGGCCGTGAGCTCTATGTATTGATTAACCAAATCGACAGGCCTGTTATTGTACTTGATATGAAATGAAAAGAAAAACACATCTGAATTTATAAAATTGAAAAAGAGGAAGATTTTTTTTTTTTTAAAGAAAACTGTCAATAATCTAGTACAAAATTATTTAAATAGATCACTATTAATTAAAGAATATTTCTTAGCAGTGAATAAGAGTCTTTTCATCGTATAACTTGAATCTTTAAAAATGTGTTGCACTCCCAACCTTAGAAATATAGATCTGAAACACAAACAGACCCTGTAATTGATAAATCGTTTTGGATAAAATGTTTTCTGTGTCATTATTATCCAAAATAAAAATCAGAGAATCATATACGTATAAAAAAAATTTTATGCTGGGGAGCAAAACGTCAAATGTTGCACTCCTAACATTGTCGGGTATGCACAGATACTTGACTCCCATTGATGCTGCTTGTGATTTATATAACATTCTTAACTTTAAAATTGTATATCAGTTTTTGTTTTACACTTTGAAATTATTTTTTGACTTAATTGTCTTTCAGATTTTTAAAATTGATTTTTTTGGCAACACTACATTTTTTCTGTTGCACTCCTGACATGCTATTACTTATTTTTTCTCAACATCAACCATGACCACAACTTGGTCAAACAAAAGTTGCTACAGTTTACATTTAAAGCTCACTACTTTGAATATTATCAGGAAAGTCTTTTTTTTCAACATAAACCATTTTTATTTATTTCACAGATCATCAAAAATTATTGCATTTTCAAAATGCCACAAAAAGGTGTTGCACTCCTGACATTTTTAGCATCATTGACATGATTGACATCATCACAATCTGGAGAATAATTTACTATGTTGCAGTTGTTTCAAAAGTTAACAAATGTTGTGGGTACCATTTTGTTGATGTAAAAGGACTTTAAAGCTGGATTTTTAAGTTCATTTTTGAGAAAAAAAATTATGTGCAAGAGATATATTTAAGGTAAAAGAACATTTACCTGTTAAATAATGGGTGTATTGAATTTGTTCAATAAAACAGTACAAAAACTGAAATAAAAGAAGATAATCGCTGAAAATATGAATTTCATTTTTATTGTAAAAATCATAGTATTAACAAATATTTTACATAATGCAATAGCTCAAACAAAATTCATATTTACTTAATTGGACATACATTTACATGCATATCTATAATGAAATATGTATATATGCATTTATTTCATTAAACTTGAATTAAAGTATTTGTAATTTCCTCGTTCAAATTGTGAATCGATTATGAACTTTCATAGTTCTTTACATCCTTAATACTTTTTTCCTAAGTTATTTTCTATCTTTCAACAATCTTTCAAAAACATTCTTATCATAATTTTAAAAACTGAATCTTATGCCCATGTCGAATTAATCTACCTGAAAGTATTACTGAACTCTATTTTACATGTTCAAAAGTTTACAGGAATTGAATTTTCATTATTTAAACACATAGGCCTTTGAATTCAGAGTAAAAATATCTCAAACATTCAATAAATATCTATGCTTGTCACTTTTGTTTAATAAAATTCATATCATGACGTAATAGAACTTTTATTTATATTCAAAAACCTATTGAATTATCTGCATAATTTTTATCATTATCATTGTAACAGTTTTAACAAGCAAAAAGGCGAGGGTTGTCAAACTGTGAGAAGATATCCAGCGATCTAGGTCTATTATTCCACGGCCAGGCTATCCGAAATTATTACGCCGCCATTCTTGTTGATCTGTCATTAGTTGTCCTGGACGATTGTCTCTAAATCTATTCTGTTCTAAAGCAATAAAAGGGAAATTTGTGTTATCCTGCTGTCCCTGCAAAAATGGGGATCTTGTGTTATCTTGTGGTCCCTGTGCAAATAGGGACCCGGTGTTATCTTGTAGTCCCTGTGCAAATAGGGACCCGGTGTTATCTTGTAGTCCCTGTGGAAATAGGGACCCGGTGTTATCTTGTGGTCCCTGTGCAAATAGGGACCCGGTGTTATCTTGTTGTCCTTGTGAAAAAGAAGATAAAGTGTTATCTTGTTGTCCTTGTGAAAAGGGAGATATAGTGTTATCTTGTTGTCCCTGTGAAAAGGGAGATATAGTGTTATCTTGTTGTCCCTGTAAAAAGGGAGATAAGTTGTTATCTTGTTGTCCCTGTAAAAAGGGAGATAAATTGTTATCTTGTGGTCCCTGTGGAAATAGGGACCCGGTGTTATCTTGTGATCCTTGTGAAAAAGAAGATAAAGTGTTATCTTGTGGTCCCTGTGGAAATAAGGACCCGGTGTTATCTTGTGGTCCCTGTGGAAATAGAGACCCGGTGTTATCTTGTGGTCCCTGTTGAAATAGGGACCCGGTGTTATCTTGTGGTCCTTGTGAAAAAGAAGATAAAGTGTTATCTTGTTGTCCCTGTGAAAAGGGAGATATAGTGTTATCTTGTTGTCCCTGTGAAAAGGGAGATATAGTGTTATCTTGTTGTCCCTGTAAAAAGGGAGATAAATTGTTATTTTGTGGTATCTGTGAAAAGGGAGATATGGTGTTATCTTGTGGTCCCTGTGGAAATAGGGACCCGGTGTTATCTTGTGTTCCTTGTGAAAAAGAAGATAAAGTGTTATCTTGTTGTCCTTGTGAAAAGGGAGATATAGTGTTATCTTGTGGTCCCTGTGAAAAAGAAGATATAGAGTTATCTTGTTGTCCCTGTGAAAGTGTTGGTGCGACAGGTGTGTCCATCATATCTAATCGGTTTGCATTCCACATGTCTACACCGCCAGGACCATTAGGAAAATTCATCGGTGAATTGCTCATGAAACCACCCTGGAAATTGTTGGGAAAAGGAGTTTGAAAATTTGAGTTTGGAAACATGCTTGCTTGGTTTGGATTTGCAAAATTTAACGCACCGAAATTTCCACCAAGCATGGATGAATCTTGGATCTGGTTCAATCCTTCATTCTGAAACAACCGAGGAGTGCTCGGGTCATTCATAAAATTAGATGGCACAAACGACTGTTGCATACCTGAACCCATTAGGCTTGCAAAATTTGGACTTTCTATACTTCCTGTATTGTCTTGTTGGGTAGAGGGAATCTGAAAGTTTTGTCCAAATTGCTGAGTAGAAAACTGGTTATTCAGGTTAGACTGCCCTTCACTTATCATTCCCCCAGGCTGAGTCCCAAAAGTTGAAGAAAAACCACTCGTAGAAAGCTGATCTGGTTGAATGCCAGGAGTCCATGAAGATGCGTCTGGTGAACCGTTCCATGTAGAAAATTGACTTTGGTCTATTGGATTTTGGGAGAGAACGGCGGTGAAAAATAGACTCTGAAAAAATAAGCATTGTAAACATTTTCATTCTGCTGATGAAATATTGTCCAGAGGAATTGTCCGTTATTTCCCGAACACGACAAGGAGTACACGGCCGGTGTGACCGGCCGGCAGAGGATGTTTACTTCTCCATGGCACCTGATCCCACCTCTGATGCTTTAAAAGTCCGTGTTTGCTCTGTTCCAAAATTTGTATTGTTTAATGGACTTGAATACTGTTCGTTTTCTCCATATATTACATACACATCTCAAGGGATTGGTATTTTAACTGAAGTTAAAGTAAGATTCATACTTTATATGTATGTGTTTACTTTACCTTTATAAAATTGCAACAACAAAAAAACCTACGAAAAAGACCAAGAAAAGATAAATTAGCTCAATTTCGTAATAAATTTGTCATCTATTTCAGGCTAACATCTGAAACATATTCACTATGCACAGAGAGTTTGTAATACATGCAAAAACCATCTTACATATGGTACTCCTATGCATAAAGAGAATGCAACAGATTTTCTTACAAGTCGCCAGCTTAAAAAGAACTCTCTTCAGACTTTAAATTCCTAAGAAATGCAAGGTTGCTGCGATCAATTTTCAAAATATTCTTGAAATATCATTTATGATGTTATGTGAATATTCTTTTTTATATCATTGTAGTAGGCATTTTTTGATGACTACAGTACTTTATCATTTCTTTCCACAATTTTTTTTTTCAGTAAAATGCAATTTCTCACCTTTCTCCAATGACTGATAAACTTGTAACGTTTAATGATAAGTTGCAATTACCTCAAGAAACATTAAAGATGCCATTATCTTAACGGACACAAAGTCAAAGACCAATGAAGAAAAAAAAACGTTACAAAATCCCAGCGATTTCAAAATGAAATTAAAAAAATAGATTTTTTTTTTAAAAACTAATAAACTTTTAATAAGGAGAAGATAAGGAAGATCGTGATGGAGGTAAAAACGTCCATCTTAAAACTACGATGAAAGAGAGCGCGAAGAGGCCTGAATTAAATATTTTTCATTCCGAAAAATTCCCGACGAAAGTCATAGGAAATTTCAAAACAACAAAAGTATTGAAAACGTAAGCATACAATAATCATTCTCTTACATGCAAGGAGATATACTTCGAGTGTTAAAAAATTCTGATTTACACTTTAATTTATTCTTAAATGTATTGATACCTAAATAATAAAAGCCAAAATGTTCAATAATGCAACAGAGATAAAATTGATTTCGGTTGAATATTTAAACAAAGGACGATTCAATTTTATTAAAATTTGATTTTTTTTCATATAAGTACCATTTCTAAATAAAGACTTACCAAAAGTAATGTTGCGAGCATCTTGTGTGTATGTCGTTACAGATATATAAATTATACTTGGAATTGTCTTTATATAAGTTGCGATGCCGGTACTTGTTTAGTTTTCCCCTAAACATCCTTCTCCCGACCTTTGCAGTTGATACTTCGTTTATCATACAAGTTGATTTAAAAGGTCAACCAGCGGAAGCTTCCTGGCATTTCTAACACCTGAATACGCAGCAAAAATAATGAAGATAATGATTACATTTGAAATGAAATAAACAAGGAGAGTGTAAGCCAGTTTTCATCAAAGTTCTGGGGAAATAAAAAAAAATTAATTGTAAGTCTCAAAAAGGATACATACATATATATATATATATATATCCTCTTGGAATCATTGAGGACGGAATCAGAAAGGCTATAGAAATCGACAGAGATAAACTTATTAATTCTTCAAAAAGTGACACATCAGATTCTGCAATATTACCGCTTGTAACTACATACAATCCAAAGAACAGGAATATAACCTCTACAGTGCGTCACCTCAACAACATTCTACAGACGGATGAGAAAATGTCCAAAGTACTGGAAAAATATAAATTCATCAACAGTAAAAGACAACCTAAAAACCTCCGAAGAATATTGTGTAAATCTACATTTCACCAACGGAATTTGTATGTGGTCAATAAATGCTCTGATTCACGTTGTGGAACCTGCCAGTATATTAAAGAGGGAAGTACTTTTACACTCGGAAATAAAGAATTTACTATCAATGCAGATATGACCTGTGCATCTAAAAACGTTATTTATTGTATAACATGCACTGGATACGGACAATTATACATAGGAGAAACGGGGACCACACTACGCACTCGTATACGCATACATAGACAACATATCAACCAACCCGAGTACAGAAAAATAAAACTCAGTGAACATCTTGCTGTTTGTGGACAGGGACAATTCTCAGTTTATCCCTTTTATAAACTCAAAACAGAAAATCTTTTAGAAAGACGGGAAAAAGAAAAACATTTCATCAAGATTTTTAAACCGTCCTTAAATAGTTTAATATAGACTGTTTCATGACTTTATTATTTATTACGCTATTAATGAACAAAGTAATTTTACTTAGACTCTATAATTGTTTCCTCTATAAGCATTGTGACGTCATTGCATTGTTGTTGACGTTATCATCAGGTAGCGTTATAACGTCACATGTTTGAATTGTTTTGAATTGTAAAACGTCTGAAGAAGTATAATGAAAGCGCTTACGTTTTACTAACATTGTTGCCTTGTTATTTTTAATTTTCATATTAATTACCGGACACTGTGATATTTCTTTTCATTTTTTGGATATATATATATATATATATATATATATATATATATATATATATATATATATATATATATATATATATATATATATATATATATATATATATATATATATATATATAGACTTACAAACGTATACATACGTATTGATTTAAAAATATATTCACATGTATAAACTTAAGGATGTATGCATGCACAAGTATAGGCTTAAGATAAATTTAGAGGAATAGACTTCATGTTGATATCTTCTAATGGTATCTTTGGTGTATTTACGCTTTGTAATATATTAAGCTAGGTCATAAAAAACAAATTTCATTTATTAAGTTTAGACTGAAAATTTGGAATAGTTGTCAATAATTCATAAGCATGAGTTAGAATTTTTCATGATACTTTTCATAGAGTTATCCCTCAGTAGCTGTTATTCCAAGAATAAACCTTGTTTGATGGTAACAGCTTTCCTGTTTGCCATTTTATTAAATTAACATTAATCTCAGATAGGAATTTCAAGTTTTGATTAAAACAATTTCTCATTCAGAAAATTTAAACAAGAATGCCTCGATGTAATATCGATGTATTACTGAATAAGAATATAGATAGTTCTTATTTAGGTAAATAAATACCGTTTCACAATCAGATATAAATAATATAATAAATATATAAAATTGTATTTACGAACAATGACCTATGGAGATAACGACCAGTATTCAAGATTATCTGTGCTTAAATTCTCATCAATAAAGGAACAGTACAATTATGCAGACTTGATTTGTTGTTTTGGAATAGAAAAAGTATCATGTAGATATTTCAACATATTTTTTTTTAAATATATACTATTTATACTGTCAGGTTTGATAGGAATAAACAATTGAATAAGATATATTACGAATGCAATAGGATCATGAACCCCCTAAACAATAATTAACTATGATATTCAGGAAAACTCAGGATTGTATAAGAATTACAAAAATGTATTAAAGATTTACAAAAAGTATTGATTAAGACTTTAGATATCGTTTAGGAAATATAAGCTCAGACCAGCTTAGTGTAAAAATGACTAATTTTACACACAGCAGAGACATAACACAATGAGGGCTTACCATGATTTATTTGTACACTGATCTTTTGTGCTAAGCTGTATAATCCTCCATGCCAACAAAGAAACATATGCTCCGGTGTATCCATTTCGGTTTCTTTTAGTAAAACAGACTTGAAAAGTGAAGAACATGTTATTTATGCTCTCTTACACGTTATATTTAGGACAACCCTCTACCAGAAAAAGCCATATGGACATTCTTGACCTTCTCAGTGTCTGGTAAAATTGATGCACAATATCTCAGTAATACGGAGAAACTTACGATTCTATCAAATGTTTTAAAATACTATATGTATGGCAATTTTGTTTCCATGTCCTTATTTGATTTTGAAAGAGCATGTACTATATTTGAGGAGAGAATTTTTTTTAGAAAAATTAGCCACACTGTACACAAAGTAAAAATGCACAGACAGTTATTATTAATTAATATCTTTATTGTTATTCTTATTTTTCATGAAATGTGTAGAAAACGAACAGTAATCATGCTCAAAATCCAATTAAACAATAAAAATTGTGAGCAGAAAAAACACAGGCATTTAAAAACAGAGATGGGATCAGGTGCCATAAAGGAGTGGGCATCTCCCTGTCGATCGGGCACACCCGCTGTGTTCCATTTGTCATGATCGGATAATCGGAAAAATCCATGGACAATTTCGGTAAGTTAGAAATGGCCTAACTATTTTTATAAATGACTTCAGTCAACAACCGAATTTACAATAAATTGTATTTGCAAACAAGGACATTGTGTCGACCATAAAATTTGCGAAATGAAAACTTTGTTGTCGAGATTGTGGATATTTTTGTATCATAAACTTATCTGCCAGTAGACTGCCTGATTTAAGAAATTGTTCACACATAGAACATGCTCTTGCGTACCGAATCAACTAGGAGACTTAAATCCAATATGCAGGTGATAATGTTAATTTGCTACATAAACAAGCATTCTGAGAGTATTGCATTAGCAATACTAGTCCCCTAACGGCAAGTGTAATCTGGTTCAATAAGAATTGAAAATAACATAATTCCGTCAAAAATCAGTGAAGCGGGACGAAATGCAAACTTGATCTATAACTAATCAAGGTAAAGTCACATATCAAAAATCAGCTCAATATCTGAAAGCTTTAAGAAGAAAATTGCGGAAAACCCCTAAAAATTGAAAAGGCTGTAATTCCGTAAAAAATCGATGAAGCGGAACAAAATGCAAACTTGATCTGTAACTCATCAAGATACACTCACATACCAAAAATCAGCTCAATATCTGCAAGCGTTTAGGAAAAAAGTGCGGAAAACCAAGTGAGACAGACTGACAGACAGACAGAGGGACAGACAGACAGACAGACGGACGGACAGACTCAGAGGAAACCTATAGTCCCCTCCGGTTTCACCGGTAGGGGACTAATAAGGGAAGATGACGAAAGAAAAAGTGAATTCTATCCCTAAGTTTAATTCTATCCTGAAGTTTAGTTGTCAGTTTGCCATCAAAGTCATCTCTAGTAAATCATCTAAATTGGAAAATGTGTCAGCCACTCTGGAGTTTTTTTTAGTTCAAAGAGATATTTCGAATCAACATAGGAATATTATACAAATATGGACCGGGGTTGAGGGCAACATTGATTATGTTAGCTCAAAGGGATGAAACATTGCCCGACGCGAGGGCAATATTTTCATCCCCAGATGGCTAACATAATCAATGTTGCCCGAAAACACAGTCAAACATTGTTTTTGTTATATGAAAAAAAATCATTAAAATAGGATTTTGTTTTAAATAAATTATCTGCAACTTGAGTGTAGACCTAGTGTTAGCGAATCTTGCCTTGAGTGTATTACTTGGTTTTTCTATTGTGACGTAATGTTTTTTGGAAATTGCGACGGTATCATTACGTCACAATAAATCAATCTTCTTATCAGAATCCAAATCAATAAAAATGTGGGAAAACTCTCTTTGTCGGTCAATAGTTACCGGTATAATTAAATGACCGGTCAATATTTTTTGGAGGAGCTAATATCAATTATGTTGACTGATTCTCTATATAGAGAATATAGACACTATTCTTTACTGAATATAACAATGTTAATTGATAAACTATCGTCAATATAAAAGGCCACAGCAAAAGATTTCTTCTTTTCATGTAGACGTTTTTGAACAAATTCTGCTTCATAAGAAAAAATACAGATCTGTTAATAACGAGGCACAATTAATACCTAAGAGAATTCCAACAGATTGTTGGAATGTCTGACATCCAAAGATTAGATAGAATTGTCAAGGAGAAACTCAAGAATATTTTATTAATAAGGAGGTTGGGTCCTGCCATGAAAAGTAATGAGAATTTTTTATCAAGTATATTTTCAGAATCAACACACATAGCTTAATTAAAAATCAAAACAAAAAATGGGGGTCAATGCCCTTCTTTTGGCGCTACGGAGCATTTAGTTTGACCTTTTTGCACTGTAAATACGTCTTACACATACCGGTAAATCAATTTTTAAAGTTTTTCCTCCAATATTTCTTATTCAAATAAATTATGGGAACAAACACAGTCTTATTTCATCTTGAATAGACACATTAAAATTTTTGACAAAAAAAAATTTTCAAATTACTTCGCATGTTAATTATTTG